AACACCTCGGAAACTAAAAGCACTTGAGCAGTCGCAATTGGACATAAGATTTGCAACTCCTGGGAGTACCTTAAAGTAACCCAACTACAGGAAAACTTGAAAAAAAACTTTAGATCTTTATAACTAAAACAAATTGAGCAACCATAAATGAGGCAAGATGTGCAATCCCTGACAGTACCCGATTTCAATTTTTTTCAAGTCTATGAAAACTTGAAAAATCATGACAATCCTCATACCTCGGAAACTAAAAAGATTGATCAGTCAAAATTGGAGGCAAGACTCGAAACGCATGACAAAACCCTGACAATCGTGTTGCCTCATGATAAAGGAAGTTTTCGATGGATAAAATCTTTAAAATTTTATGAGAAAAACTATAGAAAGAACGTCACATCTCGGAACCTAAAACTGTTTGAGCAGTCGCAACTACTGGGATCAAAGATTTCCAACTACTGGTAGAATACCCTCATAGTACCCAACCACAGGATTGGGAATTTCAAAACTTTTCGATATTTTTCGAATCTAACTTTTCGGAATACTTTGGAAAAAATCATGAACAACGTTATTTCAAGAACTTGAAGAATTTGAGCAGTCAAACTTGTAGGCAAGATTAGCAACTGCTGAGAGTAAACTCACAGAACCCACCTCACGATTGGGGAATTTCAATTATTTCGAGTTTTGAAACCTAATTTTTCTTTTAAAAAAAGAAACAAAAAACCCAGAGGCGAAGCTAAGCTTCGAGCCACTTGCCATACAATAAGGATAAGTTTAGAACAACACGAAGCTTAAGACGTAGCAAACAAGACTTGGAGAGAAGAATATTCAAAAAGAAACTAGAAAACCAAAATTTTTGCTAAATGGAATTAAGAAATTTTCATGAGTAAATTCTTTGTGATTAAAACCTTGTGAGGCTAATATGGAGCTTTCAAAAATGGAGTTTGAGTCTTATCGATTTGTAAAACAAAACCGGAAATTTGTCGGAAGCAAAACATTAAGCAAAAAAGCCGACAAAATAACAACCGCTAGCCAATCAGCTGAAAATCAACAGGAAACACTGCTTATATTATATATTAGAGCTTGAAATGTAGTTGATTAAAGACCAATTCGCCAACTGAACCGAAAAAAAAATTATGATTACAACCATATAGCACAAAACTTAAAATACAACACTAGCATAGCATAACAAACTAGCAGAGAGAAATTGAGACGAAGGTCGCTAGATTATAAGAATTTTTTCTAAGTTGAAAGAACGTGATATTGTCAAGAAAAGCTTCATCTACCAACATTTTCAAACCTTTGTATGAAACTGTCTAGAATCGAAATCATGGATCACAAAATTAACATGCCAAGGAAGATGACTGAACCGTAAATTTGCATCGAAACAAAAAATACGAAGCGCTTACAACCCAAAAAAGCTAATTGCGAGAATAATCAATCGAATGCGTAATTATTCCGCGCTCATTAACTGACAAAGCATATTTCATTGCAAATCCATCAGAAAATGGCTTCCAGAAAATAATGAGAATTTGAACTTATTATAATAAACGAACTTATACATTAAAACAACAAGGAAATTAGGCCGACAGAATTAAATCTGAGCAACCTCAGTGCCGAAAAACTACCAACAATATTGAATCTGATGAAATTTGAATAGGCAACTCAAAATCACAAAAACCGTCGTACCTCGTAAACTAAAAGGATTTGGTTGTTCATAATTGGAAGCCAAAATCGCAACCCTGAAAAGACCGGACAACGTCCCACTATTGGGTTGCGAATTTTATACGTGCTGAATTCGAAGTGAAAAATCGAAAAAATAAGAATTGCATTATACGATTTAGCTTTAACGTCAAAAAGAAATCGTTAAGCAACCAAAAAAAGCACGTTGAAAAAACTTAAAGCCAAACAATGAAAAACGCGTTTAAATATTGAATCAAATGTCCCGATAAAAGTTCTTTGAAGGCAAACAAACCAAATAAAACATTTGAAAAATAAACTACAAAGGAAAAAACTTAGGAAGCTAAAAAGTCTGAGAACTATCGACTAGATCTAGTAAAGCCGGAAAAAAAAACTGATTTGGTAAAAAAAAATTCATTTCTTCTCCAAAACAATAACGAAAAAAATTGAAACAGCACTACGTCTACTAAAAAAGGTCATAAACATTAGTTCAAACAAGCAAAGCAAAAGATTTGAATAATAAAGTAGCCAGGGGACGAAATTTACAAAGCAGAAACTGACCCAACAATCATTGAGCAGACAACAATTAAACCTTTCACAAATTGATTTTGTAACAAAAAGTTTTCAGCCCATCCTACAGCGACAATAAACAACACTTGCATCTATAATGAAATATGTCTACAGCACAAAATTGCTTACGCTCCGCTTGTATTAAAATTGAGCAGAAATTTTAACGTCTAAATTTTTATACATCATTTCGTAGAAAATACGTGTCGAAAACACGAATAGAAAATGTCATTTCGCGTTAAATGGAAATATTCCAGCAGTCAGCTTTAGAAGTCAGATTTACAACTCCATGGAGAACCCTGACAGCACCCATCATTGCGGTGTTAATTTCAAAATTTTCGAAATTAACCATGAAACAAAAATTTTTCTCAAGAAAGAAAAAATTTTATAGCGCTCCCATAGATGTATCGTGAAAACCTCAGATGCTCTAACAAACTTTCAATTCGATTCCTCGCATGGATAAAAAGACATTCTCTAACAATCGCAGAGTATATATAAAAACTCTGACTTCATTAAATACTTTGAACGTTGCAAAAAACTGGCAACTTGACATGTAAGCATAAAGACTTCTTAAACATATTTCAAGTGCCTTGTCAATTAAATAATGAACAAGCACATGACTCGCACCTACGGTGCATCAAATAGATCGTTGAACGTTAAAACAGCTTCCTAAACCATGAAAAAAAAACAGCGATATCAACAGCAGCCATGAAGAAAAACTGGGCTCATCTATCAGGGGTTTCATTAATTGAACTTAATATAAAGTCAACTTTTTGGCTATTTTTAACCAAATTAAAAAAAAATGAATACATCATGAAAACGCCAATTTCTGGAATACAGAAAGATTCAATCAGTATAAGTTAGCAGTCAAATTTAAACCGTAAGATTTCCCTTGAATGTTCCATAACAGCATCCCACTATAAAGTTGAGCATTTCAAGATCAGTTATTTTTTTGAAGTTAAGTTTTAAAAATTAAAAAAATAAAATCGTCATATCTGGCAGTAAAAGTTAGAAGTCAGATTTGGAATTATAAAGTGTATCTGACAAGTCTCCGTCTTACGGTTGTGAACTTCACAAACTCAGATAGTTTTTTGAATAGAAATTTTTTGAAAAAAAAAATTAAAAAAAAACGCCATATCCCGAAAACCAAAAAATTTGAGCATCACACTTGGACGCCAGATTTATATTTTTTCAGTGCACACTGACAGGACTTCATCACGGTGTAGAGAATTTCAAGTTCTATTAAAAACTGAAAAAAAATCATAAAAATTGTCATACCTCGAAAACCAAACAGATTTGAGCAGTCAAACTTAGGGGGAATATCTGCCATCCAAAATGTACCCGGACAGCACCCTATTAAATATAGCTTAAATGAGCAAAAATGCTTTCGTTTAACATGCACGTATGTTGAAAAAGCGTCAGCATGTCAACATAGGGATTTCTTAAATATATGCCACATAAAACCCCACTTAAATAATGGATAGAAACATAGATAGGAATAGATAGATAGATTCCCAAAATAACAATTTCACTTTAAAAAACTGAAAGAATATAAATTTTACATCTTAGTTTTTGCCAAACAACATACAAAAAACAATACACACAGCCTGAACCTCAAAAGCTTGTCTCCTTTTACTTGACACTCGGCAGAAGTTTCATATTTTTAATAGGCCATGTACAGCTCGCACATATAATTGAAAAAAATAATTTAAAAAAACTTTGGAGCTTTTTTGAACATTAATATATCGATCACACAAAAGGGATCATGTACACCACAGGTTCCAAAAACTGCAAATTATGCTCTTGGCACCAAAGACAGGGCATTTCGACTTGCTCGCACTTTTTAAGGATAAATCTAAAAAAAAAACTGCAATTAGAATGACAAGGCATCTGCTGTTTTAAATAACGAAATAGAAACTCACCAATGAAATGTGTGACTTATATTATCGAAAACGTTGCGGGTATTAAAACGATATATGCTTGCATTGCAGCGGTTTTTAAGTTCATGACAACAAATCTTGAAAACTATAGCTCACTCAGCCTCGTCAAACTTTTTTTAGAGATGCTTAATTCTGGGTAGAAAAAAATACAAGCGAATCCAAAGTCATTCATGAAAACTTGCGGTAACACAAAAATGATCAGCTGATTTATCTGCCGTATCTTTTGTTTGATTGAAATACATAACATCTGAAGTTAAACACCGGAATCCAAAATTTTTCCAACTTACAGGCTTTTGAAACAATGTCAGCGATCTGAATTTGGTTTGGCAGTATCGGTTGTTGCGCTAACGGATAATTTCATTCGTTTGATTTCGTGTTCCGTGTACTTAACTTCCGTGATCTCTGTTGGCTATTTATGATGCAGCAGAATTTGGTGGTACATCAATTGGTCAGTTAACTACCGTGTCAGTTCGGGTTTTAGTCAGTAACGGCATTTCTTTTTGAAATAATTTTCTATCAAAAATCAGCCATAAAAAATTCTCTTATTGAAAATATTTCATGGTAAGCTTGAAAATTGCTTAAAGTTACAGTATTTGTACATCACCTTAAGCATTTTTGATCGTTGATTAATTATTTCCTTTTTCAAAATAAATTAATTTAATCGAGAACTCTACCCTTTTCTCGGTGTGTTTTTCAAAATGAATAAATTCTCAGACTGTTTTAGTGGGCAACTGGCGCCAAACAAAATTCATAACTTATTCGATCCAAAAGAGTACCAAAACTATCCCCTATCCGAACTAAGAGACATGTTATTTCCGATTTCCTGACACGGTCAGTTGCTGACAAATTCGACTTCGAGCTCGCACGCCGTTGATTTCATATCGCTCGAAGTTTTTAAGCAGGATACGTTGTCTTCTACGAAAGAATGTGCTCTGACAATATACATTAGAAATAAAAATGATTATGTAATTTAATAATTTGGAGAAAAAAAATCAGCAAAAAACGACACAAATATATAAACAGATCTACTTAACAGTTTCCTCTCTGAAACAATGGTTCGGAATATCTACAATTTTATTATAGCGGGATTCATTTGCAGACAAGACATCCTTGGAGAGAAGGATTGTTAAGCAGATCTCTGTGAAATTTTCAAGTCTATGGTCTCAATTAGAGCACATCCTAAAATATTCCAATTTACCATTTACCAACCAAATTTAACTTGGTTAAAGTCTTCAGTTGATATCTAACTAGCTGGTGTAGTCATTATACAGGGGTGTTTCAGTAGCCCCAGAGCATATAAGGCACCTGTAGCGGCGTCTGCTTTCGCCTGTTTCTTCGAGGAGCTGCCAGTATGAGGCACATAATCCACATTATTCACTCGCACTTTGTAGTGGAACAGACGTCTATGCAGGGGTCCCTTCTCGTTCATTTCAATATAGATCGGATTACCCCACATCTTTTTCCTGCTGTGCTCCAACAGTGTGAGCACCGAAGTGGCCGAGTAATCAGCATTCTGGAGCCTGTTCACATTGGCCGCCTTCTCGCTATCAATGCCATTACAACTTTCATCTGCCGAATCACTATTGCCACTTTTGGGCTTCTTTTCACTTTTGCTACCTAGTCCTGCTCTACCTATGCTAAAACTAACATCGACCGGCTTTACATGAAGCTTACAAGAATGGCATTGATCAGAACATAGGACTGATTGCTCACAACTCTTCAATCCCAAAGTCTCGTCTGGAACCCATCCCGATTTGATCATCACCTTAAAGCCGAGTTGCGTGTAGTCGTGAACAAATTTGGATGAATATATGAACATATCGTCGGTGGGTGACAAAAGCTTCTCAACTTCGTAATCATGAGGACTGAAGTACTTCGGATTCAATAAATTCACATCTGTTCCTCCTTTGAATAACCCTGGATACTCGTAGTCGCTCTTTTTACCGGATTCTTTGCTCTGATCTTTAGCCCTTGATTTGTCTCCGAATACGGACGGTTTACTATCCATAAACCTACGATAGCTTGGATATGAGTCTTTTCTTTTGGTTTCTAGAGTCTGATTGAACTTAAAATGATCCAGTCCAGATCCCACCGGATACTTTCTACTCAGCTTTTTCGTGCTGAGATCTGCGTCCTTCTTGGACGATTTACTACAGCCTAAAGCTAGGTTGAGAAATATGTCCATCTGTAAATTTTTGGGAAAAATTGTGAATAAAACTTGACGCTTTGGAGGTTTTTCATCGCAGTAATGTTTTTCTTCACTTCGACGTTTTTGGGATTTTCTGTCTTTGCTTGACTCTTTGATGACCGACTTTTCGCCCATTATTGAAATTTAATTAGGTCGAGTCTTGTCATTAAACCTGAAAATGCACTTTTTGAGCTGCAATTTCTGCGCAGACCTAATTTGAGACATGTAGTAAGCTTTTTTAACACGCAGCATGAAAGTATGAATTTCCATGAACTCTAAATGATTAAAACATTTCTCTATATTTATCAAGTGACCAGGCTGGGCAAGGTGAAAACACTTCGAATGAATTGAAAAAAAGCCAGACCGCTGTTGTGTTAGTGAACTAAACAAAACTAAAAAACAACCAAATTATCTATCTTTAATGTCTAATTTCATAGAAATTATACACAGAGGCGAAGCGCAACACTTGCGATGCAGAAACTTATTACGAATGGAAAAAAGACAGAAGTCAAATAAAACTTCTAAAAAATCAAGTTAAAAAAAACTACAAAAAATCAAAAGCCTCACTTTAGTATCGGACGAGGTTCATAAACAGCCTTTAAAAAATGCAAAAATGATTTCCCGAGCGTTAAAAAACTTTGGGTCGAAAACTGCTAAGCCGAAAACAAAACTGTAGTCAAAAAATTTTTCTGAAGTTTTAAAAGTTTTTACGACCCATCAAACTGAAACACATAATCGCATACGGATACTTTTTGCCCTCAAAATTACGCAATATAAGTCGATATAACATGAACTGAAGTTGTTATAAAAATAAATTTAAAACAACGAAAAAAAACTCCATTTTCAAAAACTCAACCGTCAGAAATAAAAATGAGCTCGAACATACTTTCAGGAATTTTACATGAATTTTACATATATATATGCTTGAATTTGGTTTTTTCCTTCAGAGAACTTTGACTGTTTAATTAACAACATTTTGCATATTTCTAACAGACAGATACCATCTAAAAGGTATCAATGTTTGACTCAAATTTGGAAAAATATTTTGCGTAAAGCTTTCAACGCTTCGAGAAAATTCTTGCGCTCAAAATTTTCGATAAAAACTTCTACTTTTAGCGAACTAATCCGGCAAGTAAATGCTATCAAATTGACATGAGTCATCGTAACAATCTGTCAGCAGACTCGAACCTCATCGCTTCAACTCTACCACCTGCGGAGTGGAATTTTTTCAAAACTTTTTTGTTCAATACAGTTTTAGCTAAAAGCTGCTTTAGACAATTTAAAAGGAAGCTGAAGAGTCTATCTCCAGGAAAAAAAATAGTCGGTTCATAATTCTATTCATACTTCAAATTTAAAAATCAAAATCAATTTCATAGAGCACCGTTTTCTGATGATGGAGAGAGGCATATACAGGCATATATAGACAGGCTTATAAAAATTTAGGTTAAATACCCGATCAAATTCAAACAAACTATATAGAACTTTCATAATACATAAACAATGAGTCAAAAACAAAGCATTAAAGCATTAAAACTAACAAGGAACACATACAACGCTACAAAAAGGTTATTTGGTTTCATCGTTCCTTTCTGGATGCCAAATTTGCCAGCCGAGCTCGTATTGCAAGTACACCAAATGATTCATCAAACTTTCGTCCAGAGAAATACATTTCTTTAGGTACTTGTGGCCAAATCTAAATAACTTCAGATTGTTCGAGGACACTCTAAAAGTTGCGAACTCAACAGTTTCACTTAGCAGAGAAACCGATTGACTAATATTTTGACTATCTAGAAAATTAACGCAGAAAACTTGCAAGCTGTTCAGATCTGCGGCTTGTTGGAGATTCTCCGACAAAAACTGTAATTCACCTCTAACATTACAACCATAAGGACTTCTTCTGCCTGGTTCAGTTCTGATGTTGAAAATCAATACTTTCAAGTTCAAATAACCTATTTGCTTCAGGCAAGAGCGCCCTTTTCTTATAAACACATAAGAGATGTCATCAACATTGAGCCAAAGGCTCAAACTTTTCAGGTTCGAAGAAATTCTGTATCGTACCAACAAAGAAGCGTCAGTGTTTAATGACACACAAGAATCAGACGTTAAGAACATATCTGATTCATTTGAGTGACCTAATGGTTGAATTTTCCAGTATTCGTTAAAATGATCAAAACAAAGCATTCTCCATGATTGGTCGAAACTATCAAAACACTTAAAATGCTTCAATTTAGGGAAAGAGTAACAAAATTGAGGCAAAATACAAAAATTTTCAACTTCAAGTCTCCGTAAACGCTTGAATTGAAGTTCGGCCAGCAAGCAAGGAAAATTGAATCGATTGTCTGAAATATATAACTCTTCTAGTTGCTGGAAAACTTCAACATTTTCAAACATCAAATTTTCCATTACCAAACTCCAGCTTGGACTCAAATCAACTTTCAAAATTTTCAGGTTTTTCGGCAACACGATAATGGTGGCATAAGTTGGCACAAAACCGCGTGCAAAAGCCAACGAATGAATGTCATCAAAATACTCCATTTGCCTAAAATCGAACTCGTCGGCAACATTGTTGAGGCAAATGGCAATTTTTGTCGCTTGATTGCGAAATGCCGCTATAACTTTAGAGAAAATGGCAAAACTTCGATACTTTCCCAGAGAATTGCAGATAACTCGCACATTCTGACCGTTAGACAATGATGCCATTTTATGTATGAGATAATCGAAACGTTCCTCGCATTCGTCACTGCTAAACGCTTTGAAACACTGAGTTCTTGCTGCGTACTTAAAATCATGCGCTTGCATTGTTTCACCCTTGTAACAATTATATAACCGTAAAGAAGTGATTTTCCAATTAGTTTTGAATATCATGAAGTGAATTCGCGGTTCAAATGTTCGAAACACAGGTGAAACCTGGGTGATTGGTCCGTAGATAACAAGCGAAGCACTCATTTTAAGGCCACTGTTGCTGACAGTCGAATTCATTTTCCTACATGTTTGTCGCAAATACAAAACCTCTTTAAGATTTCCCACGTTATTTAGTAAATGGCAAAGCCTTTCGATTATTTCTACCGGCAAAGAGCATATGTTTCGTCCAAGCTTAGATCCAGTAATATCAGCCATCATTATTATTTATTATATCTAAAAGGTGTCATAATAAGTCATCAACACAAGTACATCTACCAGATCAGTTTGCTGGCAGATTGGAACAACATTGAAGTTAGATCTCCATCACTCCTCTGCGCTTACATTCGGCACTATATCCATAAGGTCCGCAATGCAATATGCCAGCTAATCGGGCAATAGTCAATTAAGGGAAAAAACTCAATTTTTGTTGAACGATTGTCGAAAAAACTAGAAAAAGACGTTTAACACCATTTATTTTCTCGAAACAACTTTGCCTTATTAAAAACAGCAGATCAAAATGTAATCAACTGGTGCTCTCAAAAGCTTATGCAAGGAATGGAAAAAGATTCTTTTTTAGAGTGCCGTATCTATGGAACAGAGTTGGAACCGGCCCCCGCTTTTTACGCGCCGGACCCGGGCCTCATTTTTAGGATCAGCAACCGAGCCGGGCCGGGCCTGACTTTCAAAAGAGTTCACACCTTTCACACTTCTGTTAACACAATAGACAAGGGGAGCAATATGGTGTGTGGATTGCAGAGTAGTCCCCATCTTGACTGTTTCGCCCACCGCACCCACACAGCCCTGTACCGCCTGGCAACAAGCTTTTGAAAAGCCAACGTCCCTCCGAACCCTGCATTCATCAGCATCAGACATCGGCAACTTCGTCAAGCTGTGTTTTGAGACCAGCGTTGGGCTTTTCGTATGTTTATTTAGTTCTCACTTTAACTGGCAGCTTATTCGATAGCATGGAATAAGCTGCCAGTTAAAATGAGAACTAAAGAAACTTGTCGCAACTCACGTTCGGAGCAGTTTGAGTTTGAGGTGAGGCTGGCACGATAAGCAATATTATTTTCTCAGATTTGCGAGAAAAGTTTTTTAGGAAGGTCTAAATATAGCCAACGGGCAGTATGAAACGTAAAGAAACAGATTTTTTCCTTTGAAAACTTCAACTTACGAAAATCAAAGAAAAAATATACGCCCGTAAAGCTTTTTGAAAATCAAGGAATATCTATGATTGCATGAAGGGATCTTTGAGAAAACTGGATCAATGTGTAATTTTGTTTCCGCTCAAGTTCCACTTTCGAAGCTAGAGGTAGTTTACATGTTTTCGCCCCATTTTGGCTTTTGTAAGGGGGAGCTTAATTTGCCTTCCTTTCAAGTAATCAAATTGATTTGAACGAAAAAACATCACGTAACATCCGTAGAAACCTTCAGTAACATAATATCCGCAGTTGACCTTTAGCCTCAGCTAAAACAATAAGACAACTTCTAGGGATATAATTTCTAACTCTGTTGCAATGTTCTTCAATTTTTTCGCTGCAGAAATGTTTCCTGTAACCCGTGTGACTGCTGGGTCTTTTTTTGAAAAACAAATCATGTTTTTCTGTTCCATTACTGTCTTCCCTTTTATCTGGCGCTGCTGATTGCGAGCTATGTTTGATATGACTCTATCTGATGCTGGTTCTCATTTCCGCTGATATTACACTATTTATCCTCTTTGTTTACGTATTGCTAATTCTTTTGATTTTTTTTCTCCACCAAAACATTATTTCAACTAAGTATTCTCATTGAGGGCAGTTTTTTGGGCCTCATTAGAAAATTGGAAAGTAAGTACCACATAACACCTTGCTATTATAATTGTTCCGAACTTCGAATATAAAGTATCAGAATATTTGTACTCGGGGTAGTTTTTCCACAGAAATAGTTACTTTTTAACTATCCATTTTTGACAATATTTTTTACACCATTTGAAAGGTACTGATTCCCTGAGCTCAAACTTGAAAAGATATTTCATGAGTGATAATTTTGTGTGAAGTTATAGGGGTTTGGAAAAATCAATTTGACCAATTTGGTACAATTAACGCGCGATATATTTAGCAATATAATTTGACTTCGTCGGTGACTTTTTGATTTATTTGTTTTCACAGGCATTTAAATCTGTATTTCGTTTGGGATGGGCAGAATGAAATAATAACAAGATGGCTCGTACATCAGGGCAAAGCCCTGAATGTTCCGACTGCCCCTTAAATCATATTTTGGGAAAATAA